AATCTCTCCCTCCTGGGTCCAAGCGATTCTCCTGCCTCAGTGAACTCCTGACCTCAAATGATCTGCCCACCTCAGCCTCCCAAAATGCTGGCATTAGAGATGTGAGCCACTGCACCCAGACTCTATTTTTAGAAATCCATTCCTTAAATGGGAAAACCGAGGTTTAGAGAATTTAAAGTGACTAAAAGGAAGTTCTGTATCTACTAAAAGGAGACTCCAGGATCCAATCGAAGACAGCCAGATCTCCAAAGCATAAACTCTATTTCAAATTGTGGTTAAAATAAATAAATAAATAATATAAAATCTACCATCTTAGTCATTTTAAAGTGTTCTATGTGTAGTAGTGTTAACTATATGCACATTTGTTGTGCAAGAGATCTCTAGAACTTCTGCACCTTGTGAAACTTAACTTCTGTATTTATTAGACAATTCCCCTTTCTCTCCCTCCACCCAGTTCCTGGCAACCATGATTCCACTTTGTAAGAGTGGCTACTCTAGATACTTCACAGAAGTGGAATCATAACAGTATTTATCTTTCTGTGACTAGCTTCTTTCACTTAGTATAAACATTCTCAAGGTTAAGTCCTGTTGCAGCATTTGACAGGATTACTCTCTTTTTTAAGGCTGAATAATATTTCATTATATGTATATACCACATTTTCTTTATTCATTTATCTGCGGTTGATGGACATTTTAGGTTGCTTCTACCTCTTGGCTATTATGAAAAATGCTGCAATGAACATGGGTGTGCAAATATCTTTTTGAGATCCTGTTTTCAATTATTTTGGATACATACACAGGAGTGTGATGGTTAGTGGGATGGTAATTCTATTTTTAATTTTTTTTTTTTTTTTAGACAAGAGTCTCACTATATTGCCCAGGCTGGAGTGCAGTGGCGTGATCTTGGCTCACTGTAAACCCACCTCCCGGGTTCAAGCAATTCTCCTGCCTCAGCCTCCTGAGGAGCTGGCATTACATGTGTGTGCCACCACACCTGGCTAATTTTTGTATTTTTAGTAGAGATGGGGTTTCACGATGTTGGCTAGGCTGGTCTTGAACTCTTGGCCTTAAGTGATCTGCCTGCCTCAGCCTCCCAAAGTGCTGGGATTACAGGCATGAGCCACCGCACCTGGCCCTATTTTTAATTTTTTGAGGAAGCTCTGCATTGTTTTCTCAGAGGCTGCAGCATTTTACACTCCCATCAAGAGTGCAGAAAGATTCCAATTTCTCCACATCCTCACCAAGGCTTATTTTCTGGTTTGTTGTTGTTGTTGTTGTTGTTGTTGTTGTTGTTGTTTTTGAGGAACAGTCTCGTTCTGTTGCCCAGGCTGGAATGCAGTGGTGCGATCTTGGCTCACTGTAAGCTCCACCTCCTGGGTTCACGACATTCTCCTGCCTTAGCCTCCCAAGTAGCTGGGACTACAGGCGCCTGCCACCATGCCCAGCTAATTTTTTGTATTTTTAGTAGAGATAGGGTTTCACCGTGTTAGCCAGGATGGTCTCGATCTCCTGACCTCGTGATTCACCCATCTCAGCCTCCAAAGTGCTGGGATTACAGGCGTGAGGCATTGCGCCCGGCCCCTCTGTTTTTCATTTTTTTTAAAGTAATGACTATCCTAACAGCTATGAGGTGATATTTCATGGTTTTGATTTGCATTTCCCTGATGACTAGTGATGTTGAGCATCTTTTCATGCTATTGGCCATTTGTTTATCTTCTTTAGAAAAATGTTTGTTCAAGTCCTTTGTCTATTTTTAAATTGTATTTTTGTTGCTGTTGAGATGTAGGAATTCTTCATATATGCTGGATATTAAGCCTGCTATGGTGTGAATGTTGATATTCCCCCAAAATTCATGTTGAAGTCCTAACCCCCAAGGGGATGGTAGTAAGAGGTGGGGCCTTTGGGAGATGACTAGGTGATAAGGGCAGAACCCTCATGAATGGATTTGGTACCCTTATAAAACAGGCCTCAGAGAGTTAGCTAGCTCCTTCCAGCATGTGAGGACACAGCAAGAAGCTGCCATCTATGAGGGATAGGCCCTCACCAGACATCAAACTTGCCAGCGCCTTGATCTTGGACTTCCCAGCCTCCAGAACTGTAAGAAATAAATTTCTGTTGTTTATAAGTTACCCAGTCTAAGGCATTTTGTTATAGTAGCCTGAACAGACTAAGGCAAATCCCTTATCAGACACATGGTTTGTAAATATATATACTTTTTTCTTTCTTTCTTTCTTTCTTTTTTGTTTGTTTTGTTTGTTTGTTTGTTTGTTTTTGAGAGAAAGTCTCACTCTATCACCCAGGCTCAATCTCGGCTCACTGCAACCTCTGCCTCCCAGGTTCAAGCAATTCTCCTGCCTCAGCCCCCCGAGTAGCTAGGATTACAGGCACGCACCACCATGGCTGGCTAGGTTTTGTATTTTTATAGAAATGGGGTTTCACCATGTTGACCAGGCTGGTCTTGAACTCCTGACCTCAGGTGATCCTCCCGCCTCGGCCTCCCAAAGTGCTGGGATTACAGGCATGAGTCACTGCACCTGGCCCCGGTTTGCAAATATTTTCTCCCATTGCCCAAGTTGCCTTTTCACTCTGTTGGTTGTTGCCTTTACTGTGCAAAAGTTTTCAGTTTGACATGGTCCCATTTGCCTATTTTTGCTTCTGTTCACTGTGCTTTTGGTGTCATATGCCCAAGAAATTATGAAGTTGCAAAGCTTACTCTCTTAAAGGTGCTTTTCAAACCACGGGATTGTAAACCTATGAAATCATGAATTAATCTGGTAGGTTGTAACTGATATTTTTGTTTGTTTTTGTTTTTGTTCTGTTTTGTTTTGTTTTTTTGAGAAAGAGTCTCACTCTGTTGCCCAGGCTGGAGTGCAATGGCATGATCTTAGCTCACCGCAACCTCCGCCTCCCGGGTTCAAGTGATTCTTCCACCTCAGCCTCCCAAGTAGATGGGATTGTAGGCACCCGCCGTCATGCCCGGCTAATTTTTGTATTTTTGTAGAGACAGGGTTTTACCATGTTGCCAAAGCTGGTCTTGAACTCCTGACCTCAGGTGATCCACCCACCTCGGCCTCCTAAAGTGCTGAGATTACAGGAGTGAGTCACTGTGCCCAGCCTTAACTGGTACTTTTTCAAAGAATAGAACAGACAGAATAGCATGTGATATAAAATGTTAATTGAGGTATCATATGTAGTATGCCTAAGCACTGTTTTAGAAACTTTTTTCCAGGTGTGTGTGTGGGAGGTGGGGCAGGGTGATGGATTGTGAAATAAAGTGGATTTCTTACTGTGGGCTATGGCTAAAATTTTGAAAAACATTGCCCTACTCTCTACTGCACTTGGTCCAAATGAAGGCCCAACAATGCTGAAGATTTTCCAGTAATTACAGCAGAGTCAGCCCTTGGTGGGCTTCAGTGGGAGGAACACAAAGAGATCTGTGCTAGGGCACTTAGTACCATATTCATGTGGCAACTTGGTTTCTGCAAAAATAGAAAGTCAACTGTCACCTTAAGTGAATATTTTTTATTTGATCTTTTTTTTTTTTTTTGAGATAGAGTCTCACTCTGTTGCCCGGGCTGGAGTGCAGTGGCATGATCTGGGCTCACTGCAACCTCCGCCTCCCGGGCAAGCAATTCTCTTATCTCAGCCTCCCAAGTAGCTGAAATGACAGGCATGCACCACCACACCTAGCTAATTTTTGTGTTTTAGTAGAGACGGGGTTTCACCATGTTGGCCAAGCTGGTCTCAAACTCCTGACCTCCGGTGATCGACCTGCTTCGGCCTCCCAAAGTGCTGGGATAACAGGCATGAGCCACTGCACCCAGCTTTTATTTGAATTTCATTGGTGCTATTTGTTTTGGTTTGGTTCTATGGTTGCCTAAGTGCTCTAAGTATAAATATTTTATATCTGGTTTTATGCTTGTATATATTCATAAAAATAATTTACGTCTACCATGGGGGTCTGAGAGAGTTTTCTTTCCTTCAAAACAAGGTGTCTGTATATCAACAGAATTTGAGAAATACTGTTAAGGCTGTGCTGAGTTCAAAGGTGTACTACCAAAACCTTATTTGGAGAGAGGGTCTTCGCAGGTATGATTAGTGAAGTTAAGATGAGATCACACTGGATTAGGGTAGGCCCTAAATCCAGTGACTGGTGTCCTTATAAGAAGGCCATGTAAAGATACACAGAGGAAGGCCAGGCGTGGTGGCTCACGTCTGTAATCTCAACACTTTGGGAGGCTTGAGCTCATGAGTTCAAGACCAGCATGGGCAACATGGTGAAATCTTCTCGACAAAAAATACAAAAATTAGCCAGGCGTGGTGGTGTGTGCCTGTAGTCCCAGCTACTTGGGAGGCTGAGGTGGGAGGATGGCTTGAGCGTGGGAGGCAGAGGTTGCAGTGAACAGAGATTACACCACTGCACTCCAGCCTGGGTAACAGAGCCAGACCTTGTCTCAAAAAAAAAAAAAAAAAAAAGAAAGAAAGAAAAAAGAAAAGATACACAGAGGAGAAGCACAGAGAAGAAAGTCATGTGACACCAGAGGTAAAGATTGGAGTTATGCTGCCACAAACCAAGGACTGCCAAGCACTCAGCATCCACCAGACAGAATCCAGCAAGAAGCAAGGAAGGATCTTCCCCCTAGAGCCCTGAGATGGAGCATGGTCCTGCCAACACCTTGGTTTCAGACTTCCAGCCTCAAGGACTGTGAGAGAATAAACGGTGTTGCCTCCACCAAGTTGGAGGTAATTTGCCACAGCAGCTCCAGGAACCACTCCAGGGGATAACCTGCTTCCCAAGAGGGGACTCACAAAAGCGCCTTCCTAAATGCCGGTCCTCCCAGCAGCTATGCCATTCCATAGTGTGGGCTTCTCAAGGGGAGACACCAAGGCCCAGAGAGGCTCAGTGGCCTACTCAAAGGGTCACAGCAAGTTGGGGGTAGAAAAAGGACCAGTAAGCAAGACTCCCACCACTCCCTCCCAGAGCTCGGCTCACTACTTACCACAGTGCCAGCGAAAACGTTCACTGCAGAGGCAGACTTGGCCTCCTTTACGCTGAAGTTGGGTTTACTGGGCTCCAACTCGGAGCTGCTGAGACTGATATTCCTCAGGTCTGGTACAGAACTGGAGGGCCTCGCAGACGTCGGCTTGGCGGAAACAGGGCCAGCCTCCTTCATGGGGGCTTCCTCATTGAAGCTGCTGTCTGTTTCATTTTTCCTTTCATCTCTGACACTCGAGAGCAAGTCAGGTGCGTAGGACACTAATGTCAATGGCTGGATGTACTGGGGAGGAGGAAACCACAACACACAGCCCATGGGAACCCAGCTCTATCCACTTCCAGATTCATCTGCACCCAGGGGTAGGTGCAAAGAAGATGAGGAGAAGGAAAGCAGTGGATAGCAAAATTTCTCTAACATGGGGCTCTCAACCTGGAATTCTGGGACCCTTACAGGACTCGTGGATAGCTTCACAGGGTCTGAGCCACTTGAAATTGCAGTTTAAAAACTGTGCATTTTGTACTTTCTGGCAAGAGGTTCCATAGCTTTTACCAAATTCTTAAAGGGTCTGTGACCCTAACAAAGTTAAATAATATGAAACAAAAATCTCTACTCTAATCCAGGTGAGTCTTTGAGACAAAGGAGATGGATTGAAAACTCAGCTGAATCTTCCCACTGAGCTAGAAGAGAGTGCTAAGCAGAGAAGGTGAAGACAGACCACAGGCCAACTGGACAGCTGACCCACAGCCAGGACTGGTCCACGCTTTGCACAGAGGATAGACCCAGCCATGATCAGCATCCCATGTAATGTTCTGAGAGTCTTGCTCCCAGAAGCTCTTCCCAGTAGCCTGCTCTCTCCACTGTGCCCTGGCCTACTAGAGGGGAGCGTTCCAACCCAAGCTGCAGTTGAGGACCAGGAGTATATGCACTCCTGAAGCCCTAAATAAGGTTCCCTAAATAAGGCTCGTGCTCAGCCTCCCAGCATGGCCTGGCTGCTCTTACTCCTACTGGAGGAGGCAAGTAGGACAGACCGGTGAGAGTCCTCTGTTGCCTGGATGGAGGGATTCTCTAAAAGATGCCAGCTCCCGTGTGCCTTCAGGGGTCCCCGCACCACCCCGTCGTTGCCAAGCCCTCTGTGCAGCCCTTCAGTGTGTCTGGGCTCTGAGCAGTGGTCTCCTCAGCACCCCCCACAGATCAGGCCCAGGTGGGGAAGGGTGCTGGCTACGTGTGTTCCCCATGATCCGGGTTTACCTGTTTGGAGGCTTGGGTGGCAGCCTTGTCTTTCTGCTGCTGTTTCTGTTGCCAGCCCCTCACGCCCTTCTTTCTCACTTGCTCGCCTGCCGATTCCCCCTGCATCTCTACCTTCTTCTTCATTTGGAAGGGCTTTTTCTCCCGTTTTAGTCTCAGCTCCTGGATCAGCTGCCTGCCCATGAAGAACAAGTGAATGTCATGGGGGTTAGGGATGCGCTGCGCAGGCAAGCATTCTCCTTGAGGGATGGACATGACTGGGCGAAGAGGTAGCGAGTTCCACGTTCCCTCCTCCAACACATCCAGTCTGCACAAGTGATTGAAGGTTAAGGAGCAGGGTGTGGAGGAAAGCATCATTCTGCCAAGCATACCATCCCCCGTGTGGGAACAGCATCCAAGGAGAGATGCGCAGTAAGGGGGCCATTCCCTAGTCCACCACACCCCTATCTGTTCCCCACTTCCCAGCAGGCCAGTTCCCATCCATGGCAGGTGCCAGCAAGAGGGTCTGGGTAGGAAGCTAAAGCCAAAGGCTCTCATATTGGGCCATTTCATGTGCTGGGCCTCTGTAGCCAATGGATGCTGAGAGTGGACAAAAGGTGACATAATATAGCAGAAATAACTCAGTCTCATGAGTCAGGACACAGGGGAGTTCTGGTCCCTCTTCCGTCATCATCTTTATATGTGATCACTCCTCTGCTCTGCCCTCTCTTTCCATAAAATGAGCTGGTAGGAGAGGACTGCACTCAGTGGATGACTCCCTCCAGCTCCTGGAGTTTACGCCTGTGTGAATCCATGAGGCAGCTTTCAGGGGGTGGCTATCCTCAGGAGTCAGTTTCTAGAAAGAGTTACCTCTCTCCACTTCACACAGGGAATCTTCCAATTCCTTGTCCTTGTGAGACCAGGGCAGATGTTCATCTGGCAACTTTCTGTTTTTACTTTTCTTTGAGACAAGGTCTGACTCTGACACCCAGGCTGGAGTGCAGGGGTGCAGTCACAACTTACTGCAGCCTCCACCCCTCCGCCCTGAGCTCAGGTGACTCTCCTACCTCAGCCTCCTGAGTAGCTGGGAGTATAGGCACAGGCAACCATGCCTGGCTAATTTTCCTTTTTGTTTTTTTGTAGAGATGGGGTTTCGCCATGTTGTCCAGGCTGGTCTTCAACTCCTGGGTTCATGCCATCCACCTGCTTTGGCCTCCTAAAGTGCTAGGACTACAGGCATGAGCCACGGTGCCTGGCTGCTCTGGCAACTTCCATGGTTGGGGACTCTCCCTGCCACTCCAGGCCAGTCAGCCAATAGATCACAAACAATCCCCAGAACCCCCCACCAACCTCATCCCGGATGCCTTCCTACCGGGCATACTCCTCCCGAGCCCTGGAAGCAACAGTATTTTGGAAGAGGGAGTTGTTGTCCTGGAAAAACTTCTCATACTTCTCCGAATTCAGACTGGGATAAATCAGTCGGAACCCTCCACAGTTTTCCTTCTCATATGTTTCAGTTTTCTTTAACTGCATGGCCCGGAAACCCTTGACTTCCTCAATCCTGTTGGGAAGCAGAACGTGGGGCTGCTGTCAAGTTTTCTTGGGACAAAACCTGGAAGGGACATGTCCAAGCTGGAGGTCGTCTAGGGCCCGATGGAGGCCTTGCACATAATGGTGGTCAATCAGGGTTTGCTGAATAAATGCATGACTGTTTGCCTGAAAGGAGATTCTAGCCCTCCTGGGACAGCCAACGTCATATGCACTAAGAGCTGGTTAGCACAGTCTTTTTGACAACTCACCAAATTCTGTTCTGTTCCAAATAAAACCCATTTTCCACTCGGCTTTGTTCTGACTAGGCAGACTGTCACCACCTTCCCATTCACAGTCCTGATTATCCTTCTCTACAGAATAGCCGCTGTACTTTTACTGAATTTGAGGGCTTCCTGGATGACCTTGATGACCATTTATGAGCTGCAATGATCTCATTCTTTCTCACAGCTCCCTGGGGAAGTGGCGGTCAGGTAGGGAGAAATGATAAGCCCCCTTTTACAGCAGGGAAACCCAGAGCCACAGAAATATCCAAGGAAAAATAATGAGGAGCCTGATTCAGAGAAGGCCCTTAACCTGACAGCTGCTCCTCAACAGGACACTGCCTCCTTCTCGGGGAGTTTAGAGATGGCAGGACATGGCGAAAGGCATCCTGGAATCCCAGGCAGCAGACCCACTGGGCTCTGGGTCCAGAGCTGTCATTTACCAGCAGGGTGACCTTGTACAAGTCAGTTCCCTTTCTGGAGTCTTGGTTTCCTTGGCTTCCAGAACAAGGCCACATGGCACTCCACCCTACCTAGCTGCCCACTCCTTACAGGGAAGACAGTGCAAGTGCCTGAGAAACATGGTGCTTTCCAAACATAAATGCTATTTATGGCATCAGTTCCAGAAACTCAACCCCAAAAGATTAGACTGGCTCTGCCCATGAGGAGTGCAGGGGGCTGTAGTGGGGTCTGAAAAGCAACAAAGGATCCCCTTGACTAGGCTCAGAGTCTCCTGACACTACAATCTCTCTACAGAATGGAAGCCCCAGTTACAAGGCAAGTGCTGCCCAGCAGGAAGCAGGGGACGTTAGCTCCTGGCAACATGGGAACATGGAGAAGGATAGACACATCTTTCTTTATAGTAAAAATAAAGGAATGGTCTTATTTTTATACTGGTAATTCCTAAAGCTTCACATAATATTAATTAATTTCTATCCATTATATATAGCTATATATCTGTAACTTAATCTCCTATTTCTAGGAACAAAGGAATATTCCAAGTAAAACTATTCACACTGCTACATTCTGCCAGTATAAGCTCATTTTCCAAATGGGATTATCATTTGTTAAAATGACCCCCTCCAACTCCAGGCAAGATTATAATAGCCTTCAATATGTATTATAGTGCCAAGTGCTTTGCTAAGCCTTTTATATGCATTATCTCATTTCATTCACCCAACAACCTTATGTATCATAGCCCCATTTCATAGAAAGATCACTGAGGCTCAGAGAAGTGACAGAAAGGCCACATAACTAGTAGGCTGTCGAGTCATAATTTGGACCAAGACAGACCGTTATTTTATTTATTTATGTATTTATTTATTTACTTGAGACGGAGTTTCACTCTGTCACCCAGGCTGGAGTGCAGTGGTGTGATCTCAGCTCACTGCAACCTCCGTCTCCCAGGTTCAAGCAATTCTCCTGCCTCAGCCTCCTGAGTAGCTGGGATTACAGGCGTGTGCCACCACGGCCAGCTAATTTTTTTGTATTTTTAGTAGAGACGGAGTTTCACCAGGCCAGGCTGGTCTTGAACTCCTGACCTCAGGTGATCCTCCCGCCTCAGCCTCCCAAAGTGCTGGGATTACAGCCGTGAACCACTGCACCCGGCCCGGGACAGACCATTCTTACTGGGAGCAGGGGAGTCAGAGAGAGAGAGAGCCCCCCAAGGCTGGGGAGTGCTACTGTACCTCATCTCCCGAGAACAACACTGCTGCAGGAACTGCCCCCGTTGTCTCTCCTCCTCCAAGACTTTCTTCTTGTCACAGCTTTCCAGGTTGATCAGGACCAAAGTGTCATACAGCAGACCATCTTTCACCTCTTTATCCAACCGAGAGTCGGTGGAGAAGCTTGGAGAGTGGTTGACCTGTGAGGGCAAGATGGGCAACTGGTGACAAAGCCATCCAAAGTGAAAGCAGAGAGTGAGGCCGAGATGCCACCTCCAGGGTGCTACCAAAGCCCACCTCAGGGCCTGACTACCAAGATGAGAGGAAGGGAGGGGAGAGCATCTGGACTGGAGCCGTGGTGAAAAAAGGAGGAAGCATAACTCCCTGTAGTTAAACCAGCTTTTATCTCAGGCCTTTCTTCTTTGGGAGCATCAGGGCTACCCTCTCTTTGGTGTGTGTGTTCCACTCCATCTGGGGTGCATGTGTTCCCTCATGTGCACTGGGCATCCAGAGAGCAGAATGGAAGGGGTACTGCCCAAAGGGACAGGCTCGGACACAGGAGGTAGAGACGAGTGGCATTCAGGAGCCTGGCCAGGGTGGAGGGGAGACAGGTGGGAGGAGGGATGGACTTATTCCTGCACACTGAAAAGTCTGTATTGTTTGGAGGCACCATGTGACATTTGCAGATTTCTAGAAGTTTCTGAAGGGCTTGCTCCTGGTGGCTCATTCTGCTCTTTGGGTAAGGGCTGCAAACAGGCACATCCCTCTTCCTCCCGCCATACCTGGAAACAAGGACTGGGAATGGAAGCAGGGCAAAGCTGCAGGAATCTGACCTGTAGTCTCGGGTTCTCCACCCCAAAGTCTGACCTGTGTCACTGAACCTGGCACTAGCACCCTTTGCTCCTCACGACGCTCCCTGAAGGGCCATGTGAGAGGGCTCCTGGGGACAATTCTTTCAGGAAGAGAGGCAGCTGCCCGGAAAGCTTCTCCTCCTCCTCTCACCACCCATGGGTCTGGGGGAGGCAGGAAACTCACTACATGGCCCCCTACCCATTTCAGTGGCAGTAAGCCCCAGGACACTCTCTGCTGGTGTGTGTGAACTGAGTAGTCCAGGCCCCTAAGAGTGGGGCACAGTCGCTCCTGTCTGATACTGAACGTTGCCAACCCAGCTTTGACGAAGAACGCCCCTTTCTGGGAGACAACTCTGTTACAAAAGGTCAAGCTGTCTTTAGAATCACTCTGTGCCTGAGATCAGCACTTCCTTGTCTGAGAGGACCTCAAGAAGGCAAAGGAATTATCTAATTCCCAGCTGTCTACCCCCCTCTGGTGGCCACTTCTCAGCTAAGAGAGAAGCCCCATGCAGCAGGCACCATAGGAGGAAGTGGCCTGGGAAGTTGAAACAATTCAGGTAAGCCAGGAGGACAGGACGGAATCCTTGAAGCGAGCTGGCCCCAATAACAAGAGTCCGTTTTCGCCCCTCGCCCCAACTTCCCTACCTCCAGCAGCCAGGGTTTGAGTCTGCGGTCCAACAAAATGTCGAAGCCCAGGACCTCAAAGCAGGCGCTGCTGAGTGTGTGGCTGGGGAAGCAGGTGTGGTAGTTATGCCTGACGATGGGGTGCGCCGAGATGAGGGTCTTGATGATGACGTCCTCAATATCCCTCCATATCTGCTCCACATTGTAGCTGTGGTCCTCCATGTATGCATTGAAGGTGGAGAGTTTCCTGGAAGGGAACCACAGGCCAGGAGGCAGTGTAGCTGACCTCTGGTCACCCGAGGCCATGGCATGCCGGAAACCAGAAACTCCTGGTGGAGACAAGGCTCCAGAGCCAGCAGGGACGAACACCCAGGAGCCAGGGTGACACCTGGGCTGTGTCAGAGCCAGAGGAGGTCCCAGGAATCCCAGGACTACCCCCTCCAAGTCTCCAGAGCCCTGGGGTGGGTGCGGATGCAGTCACATAAGACATGGTCGGGACACTCTCACTGTGACCCACAAAACATCTATCCACAGGGGAAGGGATGAGTCAAGAAAACCCCCGACACCATGGTTTTACTTTGGCAGCAATGATTCCTCAGCCTCTGGGGTTTATTAGAAGCATGTGGGCAGCCTTTTAAGAACGCTGATGCCTGGGTCCCACCTCAGCCATCTGAGGGGATTCTGGGGATATTAATGACACAGAAGTCTTGTTTTAGGGCTGCCCACAAGGAAAAGGCACCCCAGGGCATGTCCACAGATAAGGTTACCAACTGTGCCAGGCAAACTGGACTGTCCCAGTTTTAGAACTGCAAGTCCTGAATTCTAGGAAACCCCTCAGTCATGGGCAAACAGAGACAGTTGGGGGTCGCCTGATCACAGAGGAACTCAGAGATGTCTACCTCATGTGGAACAGTTCATGAAGAAATACCTGAGTGGGTGCTCAGCCAGCTCTGAGCTGGGCATTACCGAGAGAGGACGGATCTCACAAATCCAAGAGGCAGTGGTAGGGATGGACATTTGCCCCCTCACATGCACATACATGTGCACAGAGAGCCAAAGTGGAAGTGGCAATGTGGAAGGAGGAGGTGCAGGGGAGTGAACAGCAGAAATAATGAAAAAGACAAGAGACACGGCTCATCCAGGCTGTTTCAAAAGCTCACTAGACCCCAGCCCAAGGGGTCAAGGAGGAGGAAGCAGGGTCGGCCAGACAATGTGCATTTGATAAGGGCCTTTGGTGCATGCAAAGCCTCATGCAAGGAGGGGACACTAGAAACTGTCACCTCTGTCATGGGAAGCCTCAGGACCATTCAGGGAGTCAACACACATGTGAAACAACCAAGGATGCATTTATATAAAGACAGATAAGCCAAGGCTACTTAATATAGAGACCACCTCCTCCACCTGCCATTGTCAGAAAACAGTATTGCACATAAATGGATTTTCCAGATCGCTTTAAGCCAATTTTTTTCAAGCGGAAAAAATGTATTTAATTTGCCTAATTGGGAAATAAATTTTCCTGAAATGGATTATATAATTCCCCGACAACATATAACATAACCTTTTCTTGATGACTCAGGACTCATCACAATGAATATACTTTATTGTATAATTTCATAATGCCCAGTGGTGAGTCAATTCAATTTAATACCAGCCATGTGCTGAGCACACTGAAAGATGAAGATGGCTTGGTGTCTGCCAGAGAATCCTGCCAGGTTTTCAGGTTTCCTGTCTTCTCCTTCACTGTGACCGCAGCACTACTCCTGAGTTTGTGCCCCAGTGGGGTATTGGCAGGGACAGCAGTTGACCTCAACTGCCAACTTTGGGACAGATGAGACAGTCAGTATGAGAAGCAGATTGTCTCAAAAGATGGAGAGGAAGAAGAGGAAAGGAGAAACAAAACGGGAGGGAAAGGAGGAGATAAGAACTCTGCCCAGCACTATAGGAAGAACCCCAAAGGCCAGGGCACCATTGTAACCCTCAAGGAGCAAAGTACAACTAGGGACAAAAGACAAATGTGCCCTGGGTAAAGAACAGCTATGGGCAATGGCTGATATTGACCATGAGGGTTGTAAAAACACACACACAAAAAAATTAGCCAGGCGTGGTGGCAGGAGCCTGTAATCCCAGCTACTCGGGAGGCTGAGGCAAGAGAATCACTTGAGTCTAGGAGTCAAAGGTTGCAGTGAGCCAGGATCGTACCATTGCACTCCAGTCTGGGTGACAAGAGCAAGACTCCGTCTCAAGAAAAAAAAAAAAAAAAAGACAGTGCCCTGCCCATGGAGTGGATGGCACGGGCAGCATGGCTTAGTGGGTAAGGGCACCAACTCGGGGGTTAGACAGCCCTGGTTTCAATCCCAGCTTCCTAGCTGTGCCACCCCGGGTAAGTTACTTAACTTTTTCACACCTCAGTTTCCTAATATGCAGAATAGGGACGATAATAATGCCGACTTCATAGTGTTGTTTTGAGGAGGATTAAGTGGTTTCAAGTATGTAAATTATCACTAGGAAAAGAAATGTCCAAGCTCTCCAGCCCTGGAGATGAGAAGGTAGAGATGAGGAAGTTGGGCAGGGAGACCAATTTGGAGTGCTGGGGTGGAGGCAAGGAGAGAGAACACACCCACACTGGGAAATGCTGAGTTGAAGACGTCCAGGTAGAAATGAGGAGAGATGGACCTGGAGCCCAAGGGAGACAGGCTAAGCCCAGCAAGGGCAGGCAGAGGCCACGGGGGCAGGCGGCTGCTTCAGGAGAGAGTGGATGGAGAAGCACCGTGGGGTGAGAGGGAGATGAACAGAGGAAGAAGGAAATGGAAGAGGCAGAACAACACTTGAAGCCTTTGCAACCTCACCTTAGTTCTGCTACCCCAAGACACTCCTCCATCACAGCCGAGGGCCCAGAGCCTGCTGTTGGGGTGCCAGTTCTCATTGGAGGAGGGAAATGAGAACCTTTCCATTCTGTGCCCTTAGGCTAATGAAAAATGACAGTAACCACGCATACTGTCTATGTTGCCATCACAAGTCATTTGAACCTCACAGAGACCCTGTGAGGTGTCAGGGCATGGCAGGGAGTCTCATCACATTCATCCTCCAGACCAAGAAGTGCAGGCTCAGAGAGATGAAGTAACTCGTCCAAGCTTAGTTGGCAAGTGTCAGAGCCGGGACTACAAGCTAGACCTCCCAGAGTGCCGACACTCAGAACGCAGCAATGCAAGAGGCCCAGCTGGTGCCCATAGCCCAGGTGGGGAGGAGAGGAGGAAGTGGCAGAGCTTCAAGCAGCACAGGTGGCTGACATCTTCCGGAAAAGGGGGAGACTGCCTCCCACCAGTCTTCCACATCCCCTTTAAGCAGCCTTAACTTAGTGATTTTCCGTGTGCTTTTTGGAATGCTGCCACTGGGGGGGTCATGAAATGTCACATGCCTCTCTGATGGTCTGAAGCCAAACTGATAGCCTGTTCAGTGGTCCTTTGAAGCTTGGTGCGTTAGAAAAGAGAATGAGCTCTGGGGTCTAACAGACCTCGCTTCTCCACTCAGTCTAGCAGTCACAGCTGTGGGACCTGGGGTAACTCACGCAACCTCTGAGACTCAGTTTCCTCATCTGTAAGATGGAGATGGCACCTAACTCACAGTTCTCCACCTACAGAGAGCAGATAGCAATGCCTTTGCCCTAGTGTTGCTGTGAAAAATTCAAAAACAGGCCAAGCGTGGTGGCTCACGCCTGTAATCCCAGCACTTTGGGAGGCCGAGGCGGGTGGATCACGAGGTCAAGAGCTCAAGACAATCCTGGCCAACATGTTGAAACCCCGTCTCCACTAAAAATACAAAACTTAGCTGGGTGTGGTGGCACATGCCTATAGTCTCAGCTACTTGGGAGGCTGAGGCAGGAGAATCGCTTGAACCCGGGAGGTGGAGGTTGCAGTGAGCCAAGATCACGCCACTGCATTCCAGCCTGGGTGACAGACCGAGACTCCGTCTAAAAAAAAAGAAAAGAAAAATTCAGCAATAAAAAATGCACAGAAAGCACCAAACACAGACCCCAACACACATGAAGCCTCAGAAATACTTGCTCCTTTTCCCTTTCCCCCTTCACCTGGTCAAGTTCACATTCTTCAGTCTCCCATTTTCTTAAAACTCAAATGAGACCTGATTAGACAATAACAGGAATGGAAAAGCCTGTCATGAAGATACTGTCGTGAACCGCTCTCAATTTCCCCCCTTCTGAGGAATCTTCAAGCCAGCTAGCCACATGTCAGGGTACTGTGACACATCATTTGGGAATCTCTAATGGAGCAACACCCAGGGGAACACGGGCCAAGCAATGACTACTTGGCAAGTCCTTCTCACGTGGCAGATCAGTAAATATCTGTTGCTTTGGAAATATCAGAAGGGCCAACTGTAATAAGGGTATGTTTTGGTGTGTGTATATATTCTGCTGGGGAAACAGCTCATGTTTATCTCTCCTCCTCCCAGCCTCCCAGGGTTTACGATGGGGCCTTCTTTTAATGATTAACAGCCAAGAGGGCAGAGACGAAGGAATTTGTTCTGGGTTGCGAAGCAAAGAAGTACTTTCTCAGACCATGTGACCCAAGATGGAAACACTGATGGGGACTGACAGGGTTTGGGGAGAATCCCAGAAAGCAGTTCTGAGGTTGGTAGGGAAAGGAAAGAAAAATGAAGCCTCTTCCTTACCTCTTACTGCCAGAGTGAGCGTCTCGACTGAAATTTGAACTGTGCTTATTAATGGAATAATTAGTCAGGTGCATGCAGATATCATCCTGGGGAAAGAGACACACATCTGTGGGGTCAGCTCGGAAGGGCAGGCCCCCTGCTTCCTCTCTGTGCCCTCCCATGGCCCCTGGAGCTTGAAGGGATGGAAAGAAAAGGAAGTTTTAGGGCTTATTTAGTGTGGCAAAATAGAGGAAGTAAGAAGGGGTGTCCTGCAGCCTCAAGCCTAAGAAACTCCAATTCTGCTGGGCGCGGTGGCTCATGCTTGTAATCCCAGCACTTTGGGAGACTAAGGTGGGCAGATCACGAGGTCAGGAGTTCAAGACCAGCCTGATTAACACGGTGAAACCCCATCTCTACTAAAAATACAATAATTAGCCGGGCCTGGTGGCGTGCGCCTGTAATCCCAGCTACTCAGAGGCTGAGGCAGAAGAATGGCATGAACCCGGGAGGCAGAGCTTGCAGTGAGCCAAGATTGCGCCACTGCACTCTAGCCTAGGCGACAGAATGAAACTCCATCTCAAAAAAAAAAAAGAAAAGAAAAGAAAACTCCAATTATTTATGAGATTGGGTTGTGCCCAGCCTGAGAAAAACTTCAGGAGTCCTGGGGGTCCAGGAAAGGCGGGGATGGCAGAGTTGCTCACCCATGGCCTTTTCTCCTTGAGTACTCCTGAACTGTGGTTCTGGCTTTGGAGTCAGGCAGACCTGGCCACAAGCCCCAGACTCACCTCTTCCTATCTATGTGACCTTGGACAAGTCCCTTATGCCCTGGGTTTTAATCTCGTCATTCGTAAAATGGGGATAATCATCCCTCTCTTTGAGGGTTCCTGGGAGGGCTAAATGAAACCTGGCACATAGCAAGCGCTCAACAAATGACCCTCACAATGTCTTGAGAACGTGGATTTAACTAGGATTTTTTTTTTTAAATCATGCTATGGGGATAGGGTGAGGTAGTGTGTCCCCTTAGCTCACCAGGTTGTCTGTGCAAGGGCGGGAGTAAGAGGTCGTCGCAAAGCGGGCCAGTCCTTCATTGTACACAAAAATCCTGAGAGGGTCACAGGATGTCACCAGTACATAAATCCGTAGGTCAAACTTAAACCCATCAATGATAAAGGGCTGGAAGGAGAGAACAGAAGTCAGACATGCATTAGGGGAGAAATTTACACTTGAAAATCACTAGCTCCTGCCTTGTTTCCATGGAGTTGGCTCCAACATTGCCTAGTGTTGTAGAGGGAAGGCTTGTCCAGGGTCAGAGAGAAGAACAAGGAGACTTGGGCTCTGGGTCCCAACATGTGACCCTGTGGAGGTCACTAAACCACACTGTGCCTTGGTTTCCTGATCTGTCAAGTGACACAAGTAACCACCTCTAAGAGGTATCTTGGTAATTAAAGAGAGAAACATTAAACAGTCCTCTGAGGCTGGGCTATAATCCTAGCACTTTGGGAGGCTGAGGCAGATGGATCATCTGAGGTCAGGAGTTCGAGACCAGCCTGGCCAACATGGTGAAACCCCATCTCTACTAAGAATACAAAAATTCACCAGGCGTGTTGGTGGGCACCTACAATCCCAGCTACTCAGGAGGCTGAGGCAGAAGAATCGCTTGAACCCGGAAGGTAGAGGTTGCAGCGAACCAAGATCATGCCACTTCACTCCAGCCTGGGCGAAAGAGCGAAACTCCATCTCAAAAAAAAAAAAAAAAGTCCTCTGATGGGCCAGGTGCAGTGGCTTATGTCTATAATCCCAACACTTTGGGAGGCCGAGGAGGGAGGATTGCTTGAGCTCAGGAGTTCAAGAACAGGCTGGGCAACAAAGTGAGACCTTGACTCTACTAAAATTCAAAAAAAATTAGCCAAGTGTGGTGGTGCAAGCCTGTAGTCTTAGCTACTCAGAAGCCTGAGGTGGAAGGATTGCTCCAGCCTAGGAGGTCGAGGCTGCAGTGAGCCCTGATCACACCACTGCACTCTAGCCTGGGTGACAGAGTGAGACCCTGTCTCAAAATAAATAAATAAATAAATAAAAATTCTTTGATAAGTCAGGCACGGTGGCTCACACTGGGAATCCCAGCACTTTGTGAGGCCGAGGCAGGAGGATCTCTTGAGCCTAGGAGTTTAAGACCAGCCTCAGCAACATAGAGACCCTATCTCTACAAATAGATTTTTTTTTAATAAAAAATTAGTCTGGGCACAGTGGTTCACACCTGTAATCCCAGCACTTTGGGAGGCCAAGTCAGGCAGATCACTTGAGGTCAGGAGTTTGAGACCAGCTTGGTCAACATGGTGAAACCCCGTCTCAACTAAAAATACAAAAATTAGCTGGCTGTGCTGGTGGGTGTCAGCTACTTGGGAGGCTAAGGCAGGAGAATCACTTGAACCTGAGAGGCAGAGATTGCAATGAGCCGAGACTGCACCACTGCACTCCAGCCTAGCAGCGGAGTGAGGCTCTGTCTCAAAAAAATAACAATTACAAATTAACCAGATGTGGTGGCGTGTGCCTGTAATCCTAGCTCTACTGGGGAGGCTGAGGTGGGAGGATTGCATGAACTCAGAAGTTTGAGGTTACAATGAGCTATGATTGTGCCACTGCACTCCAGTCAGAGTGACAGAGCAATACCCTATCTCTAAAGAAATAAAAATAAAATATAGTCTTTTGATGCATGGACATATTGTCACCATTCAGGGCTACATATTGTTGCAGTTCTTTTTCTTTTCTTTTCTGTTTTTTTGTTTTGTTTTGTTTTGTTTTGTTTTTTGAGACAGAGTCTCCAGCATCTCACCCTGTTGCCCAGGCTGGAGTGCAGTGGCACAATCTTGGCTCACTGCAACCTCTGCTTCCTGGGCTCAAGCGATTCTCCAGCCTTAGCCTCTGGAGTAGCTGGAACTACAGGCATGTGCCACCACACCTGGCTAATTTTTGTTGAGAAAGGGTTTCGTCATGTTTCTCAGGCTGGTCTGAAACTCCTAAGCTCAAAGCAGTCCACCTACCTTGGCATCCCAAAATGCTGGGATTACAGGCGTGAGCCACTTTGCGCAGTCAACACACAGTGGCAGTTCTACAAGAGTCCTCCCTGCAACGTCATCTCCTGGCCATTTCTTCCCAGAGAGATCAGTGTGTCCCACTCTGTCCACACTCCTAGAGGGCTCCCTCCCCACAGTGGGCTGTGACTGACGACCTCCAGTCAAAGAGAAAAGCTGATTCCTCTCTAGTACCATGCCCCTTTCCCACATGAGGGCTGTCCCAAACCGAAGGTGCTCCCCTAGCCCTAATGTGTTAGAGGAAAAGGGCCAGCCTGGTAGGGCCAGACCAATTGACAAGGGTAAAAGGATAGACACTCTGGCCCAGGCACGTGCCAGCACCCCTGGTCAGAATATTTGGTCTGACAAAGTGCAAGGCAGAAGCCAGGTCAGCTCCACCTCCGTCTTCACCCTCCATTCCCTCATTTCACATTCTGTCCAGTGCAGCTAAAGCCCGCGGTTGCTGTGGGTGATAAATAAATAATCACAATGAGGAAGTACCTTTGAAATATAGAGCTGACAGATCATATCCTCCCCTGGTTTTATTTCTTTCACTGTCCGGGTGATGAATATACCTTTCCCTTGGCAGCCCGAATCCGGCTTACAAATGTATGTCTTATTTTTTCTTGACCTGCTGTAGGTCTGCAAATCTCCCCAGCTACCAGAGCAGGGAGGGAACAAGATACATCTTTAGCTGGGGAACAATGAAAAGGAAGGCTAACTCTTTATGAAGAAAAGAAAGAAAAGCTATCTAATGTGACAAAGCCCTGGCATTGACAGATGCCCAGAGGTCCAGCAATGGGAGGCAGTAGAGCACACACAGCAGGGAGTGTGGGCTTCAGAGGGAATTCAGGCCTGGGTTGAAGCCCAAGCAACACCACTTACCAGAGGTGCAACCCTTTGCAAGGACTTGACCTCTCTAAACCTCAACTTCATCATCTGTACAGTAAAGATAATAACGACACCCATCTGCTGTGGTGCTTAGCTGCATGACATAATGCGGGCACAGTGCTGCATGCCCCATCAAGGTGACCATGGCACAGTAGTTTGGTCTTCTGGGCTTGCAGGTAGGAGCTTTGGAGTTCTGGACCTGGCTCAAGCCCTGACAAGTGATGTGACTTTGGATCCATCAGTCTCTCACCCCGCGCTGGGCTTCAGTGTCTCATCTGTGATGCCTCCATTTTAGTCAGAGTATGGGAGAGCAAATCATATATTTGAACATATTTTGAGGAAAGTATATTCAGAAGAAAGAAAGAAACTAAATGAGTGGATGCTGTCTCTCAGTCTCGCTATACTTCTGTGTTTTAACTCAAAGGAACCTTGTAACCATTGGAAAAATCACCTAACTGCAATGTTCCTCAGTAACCATGAAATCTGGAGCTCCTGTTGACCTAATGGCAAATACATTTCCTTCTAATTTGCTGCTAAGCCCTGAAACTTGTTCCAGACAAGCGAAGGAAAGTCTGAGAACCCTGGAGCTCTTGGTTTTGGAAAGCACTGGGTGGAGAGGGGAGGATGGAATTCTTCTGATGCCCTTGCCATGTGAGTATAATCTGATAGTGGCACTGTTCACTGTCTCAGCCCTGTCTCAGCCACCAGATTGCACCCCAGGTCATGTATGTCATCTCACATTTCTCCTGTTCCTCGGTGGTGTGGTCCAGAGCATTTTACATACCAGGAACTGATGTCGTTTCGAAATGGATATAAAGAGAGCAGAGAAGGGGAAGTGCTGACTGCTATCCATAGCATTGCATGGGACAGAGGTCAGGCATCCCTCCCTGCTCCTAACCTGGGTGCTAACCACTACCACACTCTCTCCAGAGGTGCTCATGGTCCTTAAAGATTCAGAAACTGCACAGTTACGTGGTTGGAATGAGTTCAAAATCAACAGCTTTCAGCGTCAGAACAAACTCGAACCCCAACTGCAGGTACAGGTTCCAGGGCACCCAGCCCCTAAATGTCATCTAATTTTACAGGCAGAGCCTTGTGTTTTCTCAACCTTGGACACACCCTTTATCCCTTCTCTTCCTGAACAGTAGCCAGAGAGATGGGAGATCATATGGGCAGGGAAAGTGGCAACCAGGGAATCAGGGGCAAGAGGAAACATAAATGGGGAGAGGACTGGAGAAGGAAGCACAGGGCACGGGGCACTCACTCAGCAGGAAGACACCAGGTCCTAGGGAAAAAGTGGAAATCTTTAGGGAACATCTTTAACATGCGGCTCATATTCCTGGCCAGCAAGTCCTTCCGGCAGATTTCACTCATCCCGGGAAAGTGATTGATCTTCTGCAAGGGAAGCGGAATTCATGAGCAATCGAGGGACATGGGAGTACCACAAAATCTCCTTGGGACACAGGTGTAAAAATGGGGCCCCACCGGGTAAGATGCCGCACTTAAACCAAGGACCATCACTAGCCCAAATACCTGGTAACTTTTCATTTCCATCACCCGCTCCAGTGATACTGAGTAATCTGTCCAATAGAGAGTCCAGTCATCGTTTTCCCCTCCCTCTCTAAGGCCGTACTGTTGGGCGGCCCTGCGCACTATTGAAGAAAGAAAGGCCTATTAGCCCGGGAAGTGGGGGAGGAGCATGGGGTGGGGAGGTTCCATTACTAGGTGCTCCCAGACCAAGTACTGAAGCGAGAGAACTCAGCTCCTTGAGACTGGAAGCCATCTTGCCCTGTCTCCATTAATGCAAGAATGGAGAGTCAAACACTGCCACTGCATCACTTGAGCCCAGGAGTTCAAGACCAGCCTGGCCAACGTGGCAAAACCTTGTCTCTACTAAAAATACAAAAAATTAGCTGGGTGTGGTAGGGCATGCCTGTAATCCCAGCTACTCAGGAGGCTGAGGGGGAGAATAACCTGAGCCCTGTAAATCGAGGCTGCAGTGAGCCATGATCATGCCACTGCACCAGTGAAGGTTTCATGTCACATGAAGTGCTCATGGCACTTCAGCCTGAGCAACAGGAGACCCTGTGAGAGAAAGAAAAGAAGGAAGGAAAAGAAAGAAAGAGAGAGAGAGAGAGAGAAAGAAAAAGAGAAAAGAAAGAAAAAAAGAAAGAAAGAAGAAAGAGAGAAAGAAAGAAAAGAAAGAAAGAAAGAAAGAAAGAAAGAAAGAAAGAAAGAAAGAAAGAAAGAAAGAAAGAAAGAAAGAAAGAAAGAAAGAAGAAAGAGAGAGAAAGAGAATAAATAAAGGAACACGGAGAGTTGAAAACTACTGAAAAATCCAGCCTGTACTCAATGATCCCCATAGAAGGTTATCTGGGGTGAATGATTTGCCTGTTCTGGCTTCCCTTTGCCAGAAAGCAAGCTTCTGGCTTTCCTCCAAACACCAAGCTCTGAATGTTCAGGGAATATAAACTAATCCTTAACATTAGTCAGAGCCAAGCTTAATTAGTATATGGTATATTAAGCATACTTTTTTTTTAAAGTACACACTGGATTTCAAAACTATATCTGTGATGTCATATCCTTTCTGTCCCTGTTAGGATTAATAAGTAGGAGCTGACTCCAACACAAACTCAAATGCCTTCAAGGGCCTAGAATGGGAGAAGTGCCTGCAGTAACCGGGACAGTACAAGACTACCCTAAAGCATTCACATTTGAATTTAAAATACAGCAACAGTCTGGGCACAGTGGCTCATGCCTGTAATCCCAGCACTTTGGGACGCCAAGGCGGGCAGATCACCTGAGGTCAGGAGTTCGAGACGAGCCTGGTCAACATGGCAAAACCTTGTCTCTAATAAAAAGACAAAAATTATCTGGGCATGGTGGTGTGCACCTGTACTCCCAGCTACTTGAGAGGCTAAGGCAGGAGAATCACTTGAACCTGGGAGGCGAAGGTTGCAGTGAGCCAAGATCATGCCACTGCACTCCAGCCTAGGGGACAGAACGAGACTCCATCTCAAAAAAAATAAATAAATGGCCAGGTGCAGTGGCTCATGCCTGTAATCCCAGCACTCTGGGAGGCCGAGGCAAGTAGATCACCTGAGGTCGGGAGTTCGAGACCCACCTGACCAACATGGAGAAACCCCCATCTCTACTAAAACTACAAAATTAGCCGGGCAAGGTGGTGCATGCCTGTAATCCCAGCTACTCAGGGGGCTGAGGCAGGAGAATCGCTTGAACCCAGGAGGCAGAGGTGGCAGTGAGCTGAGATCATGCCATTACACTCCAGCCTGGGCAATAAGAGTGAAACTCAGTCTCAAAAAAAATAAAATAAAATGAATAAATAAATACAATACAGCAACAGCCGGGCACAGTGGCTCACACTCATAATCCCAACACTTTGGGAGGCTGAGGTAGGTGGATCACTTGAGGTCAGGAGTTTGAGACCAGCATGGCCAACATTGTGAAACCCCATCTCTACTAAAAATACAAAAAATTAGCCAGGCATGGTGGCACTTGCTTGTAATCCCAGCTACTTGGTAGGCTGAGGCAGGAGAATCACCTGAACCTGGGAGGTGGAGGTTGCAATGAGCTGAGATCACGCCACTGCGCTCCAGAGCAAGACGCCGTCTCAAAAAAAGAAAAAAAAAAAAAAAGCAACAGCAACAGCAACACTGTGCTCTGAAGTACAAAACAGGTCTGTAGATCAGGTTCAGTTCACGAACTGCAAGTTTGTAACTTGTGCTCTAAAACAGAGCCACTGGCTGCAGCAACAGCTGTCTCTTACAATTAGATCCCCAAATCACTATATATAAGAATTACAGATAGTTGAAGTACACACCATTCTGGTGAAAACCCATGACTCTTGGAATAAGATTCCTAACTTCCTTAATTAAGTAGTTCATTGAGCTAGGAGAACTGAAGGACAGGATTTGGAGACACACCCTTCCATCCTCACAAATACACAAAAGTGACTCTTCCCAACCCTTTGGGAGAATCCGGTGGGTCCCCATTATAGATCCCCTGAATGTAGATGCTCACCACTCTCATACCGGCAGCTGGATAGATTGATCACCAATCATCTGGAAAAGAGAAAAAGGAAAGCAGCAAGACAGAAACACATTTGCCGGAACAAGTGACTGTGCCCAGAAACATCCTGTCCCAGGTGGAGCTCTCTGAAATCTAGCCTGCCATGCTAAGCCTGGTTTGACCACCCCTGTTGCTGAAGACACGAGTCCAAAGGGGTACAGCATGGTGGAAAACATGGCATCAGGGTACTATTACTCTACCCGGAAAGTAGAAATTCTGTGTTGCCATTACAGCTAATCTCACTTGCAGCTTCTCACTAACATATTGCCTCAAGCCTTTTACTCCACTGGCTCATCAGGGACAGGAATTGAACATCTTTTTGGCCAAAATACTTGTCTCTTTCCTCTTCCCCCCATTTAGGGAAGCTATGAATAAGAAAGTGGACAAGCTTTTCCATTCATCAATCAGTCTGACTGGAGCAAGGCATGGTGAAATATTAAACAAGAACCGGAATGCACAAGCTGCAGTTGGATCCTGATAAGTCAGTATGGTGCTATCATATTGAAGGTGCACTAAATTTCCAGGACAAATAAGCGCCTTCTTAAAACAAGGAAATCTTCTCTTCCTGCTATTTTTTTAAAGGCATCCTAAACACAAATAGAATGAAAATTAAGACAAGGTGTGGTTTTTTAGATTACACACACGATCATTTGATTCTATAAAACAGATCATCAAAAGTAGATTCTTTTTATATGAACCAAAAGTGGTGAGATATTGACAGTCTCGGCACACAGCTTCTCCTTTACCTTCTCATCATCAGCCAAGACCCCCTTCCCTCCAGGTCCTTCCTGTTCTTACCAACATGGCTCCCCATTCCCCAGCTTTCAATCCTAACCTCTTTTTCTTCCTCTTCTTCTTGCCTTGCTGCTGGGCATTCTGAAGTCTGTTTTGTGCCCCTGGGTTCACTCTCACAAAAGCCAGCGCGATGGTTTCTTTTGGATCTTCTATGGAACTGTCCCCCTTCTCTTCGGAGTTTGCCCCTTCCTGGCTTTCCAAAGTCCGGCACCGTGGCATCTCCCTGGCCTGAGAGGAGGCTCTGGGGAAATACCAGGCCCCTACAGAGAGGGCAGAGGGAGCCGCAGTTACAGGGATCCACCTGCAGGGGGACCCCCTCCCTCGCTCATGTGGGTGGTGACCCAGGGTTCTAATTCAAGGCAACAGGTTGCAGTTTATACAATGCCACCTGGCCTCCGTGGTTTGATGCAAACTCTGGGAGGGAGCTGATTCCACCTTTTGCCATTGGCTGTGACCTTGGAGACTCACTCAGCCAACCCTAGCCTTGGTTTTTCCCTCCTAGGATTTTCAGGAGAAGCCAGAGATGCTATGCATGGCACCACCTGGTAAACAATATTAAAGTGAGTGAGTGTCTGGAGAGAGTGAAGCCCCAAGCCTTCCTAGCTGAGAGAGTTAGTCCCAGAGGGTGCAGGTAGAGGCGCTTTGAGGAGGTCTGTTAACTGTTTCAGCACTGCAGTGAACCTCCCCCACAACAATATGCTGGCCTGAAAATGAATGCAACTGCCGCTCGTGGAGTATAGGACTAATGTGTAGCTGACTGAACAGTAAGATTCAAGCCCAGGGCCAGATGCAGACCTTCAGAGACACCAACCACAGAGAAGACTATGTCTCCCCCACCATCCATTCCAAAATAAAAACAAGATCAAATTATAAAATACATATAAGGAAGTCCAGCAAAGATCTCATCCTCCCTGGCTCCATGAGATTTCTTTCATGTTTGCTCAAAATGGCAAATATTGCTGGGCACAGTGGCTCATGCCTGTAATCCCAACACTCTGGGAGGCCGAGGCAGGCAGATCATTTGAGGTCAGGAGTTTGAGACCAGGCTGGCCAACATGGTGAAACCCGGTCTCTATTAAAAATACAAAAAAAAAAAAAAAAAAAAGGGCCAGGCGCGGTGACTCACGCCTGTAATCCCAGCACTTTGGGAGGCCAAGGCAGGCGGATCACCTGAGGTCGCGAGATTGAGACCAGCCTTACCCACATAGAGAAACCCCGTCTCTACTAAAAATACAAAAATTAGCCGGGCATGGTGGTGCATGCCTGTAATCCCAGCTACTCAGGAGGATGAGGCAGGAGAATCGCTTGAACCTGGGAGGCGGAGGATGTTGTGAGCCAAGATCGTTGCACTCCAGCCTGGGCAACAAGAGAGAAACCCCGTCTCAAAAAAAAAAAAAAAACGAAAAATAAATTAGCTATACGTGGTGGCGAGTACCTGTAATCCCAGTTACTCAGTAGACTGAGGCAGGAAAATTGCTTGAACTGGAAGGCGGAGGTTGCAGTGAGCCGAGATCATGCCACTGCACGATTTTTTTTGACTCCATCTCAAAAAAATAATTAATTAATTAATTAATTAATTAAAAAATAAAAAATAATAATTTCTCTTTTGTTGTTGTAGTTTTTTGTTTTTTGAGAGGGAGTTTCACTCTTGTTGTCCAGGCCGGAGTGCAATGGTGCGATCTTAGCCCACCACAACCTCTGCCTCCCAGGTTCAAATGATTCTCCTGCCTCAGCCTCCTGAGTAGCTGGGATTACAGGCATGGCACCACCTATGCCTTGGCTAAATTGGTAGCTTTTAGTAGTATGAGGGGTTTCTCCATGTGGTCAGGCCTGGGGTCTCAAAACTGCTCCAACCTCAGGGATCCTCTGCCTCGGCCCTCCCAAAGTGCTGGGATTACAGTGGGTGAGCCACCTCACCACTGCCAAATAAAATTTCTAAGCCCAATACTTATTCTAATATAATTGTAATCACATTTTGTATTTCGGCCTTTTTTGGCCCCACTTAGTAGATCATAAAAGCCTTTTCAATTGTTAGCAGAGTTTACATGTTCTGGGTTTTTTTGGTTTGTTTTTGTTGTTTGTTTGAGACAAGAGTCTTGCTTTGTTCTTCCCACTCATAGTGGGTGGTCAAATCTTCGCTCACGCAACCTCTGCTCCTGGATTCCAAAGCAATCTTGTACTTCATCCCCAAAAAGTTGGATGGGATTACAGGCCATGCACCACACACCACAGCTAATTTTATATTTTATAGTAGAGACCAGGGTTGCCCAGTTAGCCAGCTGGTTCCTTGAACCCTGACCTCAACAATCTGCCTGCCTCTTGCCCCTCTCACATGGTTTGGATTACAAGCATGGAAGCCACTCACGCCTAACCATTTTCTAGTTTTAATGGCTGTATGTATTCCCAATGAAGAATAGCACCTGAATTAAATACAACATGTTCCGATTGTTGGAAATGTAAGTCGCTCCCATAGTTGATATTATATAAAATACTCTAAAATGCACTCCTTGCATGTGCAGAGAGCCTTTTACTTACTTTAGGTTATTTCTTAATATCTTGATATTACATACGGTTAGAATATGCCAAATTTACAGATCGCTTCTCATGATAGTATATATATAAATACCATGTTTGCTTCCCAGAGGGATTTGCAATAATTTGGAACCCTTACCTACCAGCAATATGCAACAAGAGTAGCCTCACCAGAAGCCCCAACCAATGTCTTCTGGGAATCACCTTCCAACTCTATAACAATTTGCCTATTTCTGTTTGGTGTTTTTTTTTGCTTGTTTGGTTTTGAGATGGTGTCCTTGTTCCTGTCACCAGGCCTGGAGCCGCAGTGGTGGCAACCTCAAGCCTCACTGCAACCTCCGTCTCCGGGTTCAAGTGATTCTCCTGCCTCAGCCTCCTGAGATAAGCTGGATTTACAGAGCATCCGCTACCACCATGTTCCAGCAAATTTTTTTGCTATTTTAGTACAGAACAGGGTTTCACCATATTGGCCAGCTGGTCTCAACTCTTGACCCTCAAATGATCTGCCCGCCCACTCAGCT